CCAGCCTGCCAGAGCACAGTTGGCCATGAAACACCGCCAAAAAGCGCACCCAGTCACCACCGGCGGCCATAAATTACCGGACAAGCGGCAGCCGTTACTTGCGTGATGGAAGTTCCAGCGGTGGCGTTGGCGGTCTTTCAAGTGTGGCGGGCTCTCTGTCCCGCCCGAACCGTAAAATGGCGGACGCGCGCATGGACTGCGCGCTCGCAGTTCCCCCCGTGGGCGTTAAAATGGCGGCCGCGCTCTCGGACCACATGGCCGGAGTTTCCCGCGCAGGGGGGGGACCGTACCCCTGTGTGTGTGTGTGGGGGGGGGGTACCGTACCCCTCTGTGTGTGGGGGGGGGGGGGGGTACCGTACCCGTGTGTGTGTGAGTGGTGTACTGTACCCCTGTGTGTGTGTGTGGGGGGTACCTTACCCCTGTGTGTGTGAGTGGTGTACTGTACCCCTGTGTGTGTGTGTGGGGGGTACCTTACGCCTGTGTGTGTGTGTGGGGGGTACCTTACCCCTGTGTGTGTGTGGGGGGGGTACCTTACCCCTGTGTGTGTGAGTGGTGTACTGTACCCCTGTGTGTGTGGGGGGTACCGTACCCCAGTGTGTGTGTGTGGGGGTACCGTACCCCTGTATGGAGATGGAGCCGGAAGCCCTCGGCTTGGGTGCCAAACCCTGCTCCTCTTCTGGCTTCTACTCCTTGTTGCTGTTGTGCTGGGGGGGTTAGGGGAAAGAGAGTGGGTAGAGGGGGGGAGAATAAGTGAAACTCACACTCAGTATTGCTCACACTCACCATGATACACTCACCAAGTCTGTGGGTGTCCGTGTGATGAGTCTATTTTTCTGTGTGTGTCTATGGGTCTGTTTGAGTCCGTGATGAATCTGTGGGTAATGTGCATGATGAGTCTATGTGTCTCTGTGTGATGAGTCTATAGGTTTCTTTGTGTGATGAGTCTGTGGGTTCCTGTGTGGTGAGTCTATGGGTCTCTGTGTAGTAAGTCTATGGGTCTCTGTAGATGAGTATATGTGTCTCTTTATAGTGAGTATTTGGGTTTCTGTGTGATGAGTCCATGCTTCTCTGTGTGGTGAGTACGGGTCTCTGTGGGGTGAGTCAGATTTTTCTCTGTATAGTGAGTCTTTGGGTCCCTGTGTGATGCATCTATGGGTCTCTGTGTCAATGGGTCTCTGTGTCTTTATTCTACGGACGCCCATGGCTTGGGAGGCAAACCATCCTCCTCCTCCGGCTTCTACTGCTTGTTGTTGTTGTTGTGCTGGGGAGGGGGGCAGGGGGAGAGAGAGTGGGTAGAGGGGGGGGTGAATAAGTCAAACTCACACTCAGTATTGCTCACTCACCGTCACACTCCTATTTTCATAAAACCTCACTTACACACCATGATACTCGCACACCCACACACACCAACCATCATAACACTCACACATACAGCAACAAACTAATCATGATACTCTTGCATACAGCCACACACTCATCATGATACTCTTGCATACAGCCACACACTCATCATGATACTCTCACACACAACCACACACTCATCATGATACTCACACACCCACCATCACTCACACACTCACCATGGTACACTCACCACCACAAGCACACTCTAAAATATCATCACTCACACACTCACCATCCTACTCACACATCCACACACTCATCATCACTCACACACAAGCCCACACACTGACAACAAAAACAGCCACTATTCGCCACTACGTGGCAGTGACGTCACTACAACTAAGGTGCCTTGGGTTGACTGGTGTGCCAGGTTACGTGCAGATCACAGTACAGACGCAGGTACCATGGGTGGACTGCTGTGCCAGGTTAGGGGCAGATCACGGTACAGACGCAGGTACCATGGGTGGACGGCTGTGCCAGGCTAGGTGCAGGAGGAAGAGGTCACGGGACAGACCCAAGTAGACAGACAGACGACTGGCAGAAGCACCACAACTACCAGCACACCTCACAGAACCACCACTCAACTACACAACCACACAGAACCGCAACCACCTCCCTGGTGGTGGAAGTTGGCAGTCCAATTGGGCGGCAGCCAAGGTCAAATGTTGGAGTGCAGCCAGACAACTCCTGAGCCCTGAACCGTCACCACCCAGAGAATGGGTCAGGGAGGGAGACACAGGGAGAGAGAGGAGACACTGGGAGAGAGAGGAGGGAGCTAGGAGAAGGTAGAAGAGGGAGACGCCGGGAGAGAGAGGAGACACGGGGAGAGAGAGGAGGGAAATGCGAGGAGACAGAGACAAGGGGAGAGAGGGGAGGAAGACACGGGGATGAGGTGAGAGGTAGGAGGAGAGTGCGTGGAGGAGGTGAGAGGGGAGAGATAGGAGAAGAGTGCATGGAGGAGGCGAGGGCTCCTATAATGACTGCAAGGCATGCTGGGAGGCAAGGTCATGTGACCCACAGCACAGGGGCGACAGTGCCGGCTAGAGCCATCGCTGTTGGAACCGCATGGGCAGGGGACACAGAACGTGTCCTCCATCCCACCACCTGCACCAGTAGAACCACCACAACCAACAACCATAACTAAAACCACAATTAGAACCACAAATTCAACCACAAACGTAACCCCAACTATAACCACAAATATAACCACAACTAGAACTATAACCATAAAGTCAACCACAACTCTTACCACAGATATAACCACAACTGTAACTAAAACCAACAACTACAATTATATCCACACCCACAACTATAACCATAATATATAACCAAAACTCTAAGCACTAAAACTATAGACACAACTATAACCACAACCATAATATAACCACAACGATGACCATAACAAAACCACTACAACTATAACCGCACCTCCAGTTAGCACAGTTGGCTACGTACGGTGCGAAAGAAGTTCAACACACCTACAATGACAAAAGACAAAGATCGCTCGTATAACCAACAGACTGTCGGGGCAAGTGCTGTTAGCGAGCACCTATGGAGGCCGGCAGTGTGGCACACAAGCGGGTGGGTGGCCAGCACCACACCCGACCGTCTTTGTCTCCCGAGTGGCGATGTTTATTACACACAGCAACAGGTACTCATTTGAGGCAGAGTCGACGTAGGGGAGGCCCTGGACTGGTTCAGATGATCGTCACTGGTGCTGGCCATGAGCGGGAATCGAACTTGTGTCCACAGGTTTGTAGCGCGGCGTGTTAACCGCTACTCTACCGCTCCCTACACATACAGACAACGACCATGACAGCCAACATAACCACCTTCATCACAAATATAACCACAAAAACATAACATAACCATCACAACTCTGATCACCATAACCACCATAGCTATAGCTACAACCACCACAACCTCAACTATAACAACTATATCCATGACCACCGCAACCACCACGTACACAACTATTGCCACAGAAAATATAACCCCTGCAACCACAACTATAATATCCACCACCTACACAACCACAATTAACCACAACCAAAAGTACCATAACAAGCAACATAACCACCTAAACCACAACTAAAACTTTTGATTTAAAGCTTTCGTGACTGCAGTAATTAATATTCTTAACTCTTTCGGTAAAGTCACGTTGAAGGGAAACAATAAAATAATAAAAAATATATAAAACAATAAAAATTCTCACGACGTTTCGACCATAACACAAACGGTCGTCATCAGGTGTGTCGGTTGCATTAATTTATTTACTTTTAAACGGTGCATTTATTTATAAAAAATTCAGTAGGCTCACATGACATTGACTTTTCCAAGACAGAGGTTCTTTGTAAGCCATCTGGCTACCATGAGAGATTCGTTCATGAGGCTATCCACATATACAAGCACAGAGACAATTTCAACCGAGAAGATGGATTCTGGCTTAGCAATCATTGGAAATATTTGATTAACCATTTCAGGTCTTAATTGATTGTTCACGCTTACAGTGGCTTTCAGACAGCATACATTAATTTTTCGTCTCCACCCTCCTCTTTTCAGAACATAGATGGACTCGTCCTTCTAAATAAACTGCAAATTGCTGCGCGTGGCGCTGACGTTTTTTTATAAATAAATACACCGTTTTAAAATAAATTAATTAATGCAAACCAACACACCTGATGACGACCGTTTGTGTTATGGTCGAAACGTCGTGAGAATGTTTATTGTTTTATACATACTTTATTATTTTATTGTTTCCCTTCAACGTGACTTTACCGAAAGAGCTAAGAACACAACTAAAACCTCAACCACCAGTACAACCACGGATACAACCACAACTATAACCGCAGCCACCACGACCATAACCACCACAACCAACATCACCTCAACCACCACAAGCATAACAAGCAACAAAAGCACCACAACAACCACATTGATCCTGATACTCTAACACCACCTACACAACCACTGTATCAAGGCTCTATGTCCCTGTGTGTCTCCGTGTGTCACTGTGGGTGAGTCGATGGGTGAGAGTGGGTGAGTTGGTGAGTGGGCAAGGGAGTGGGTGGATGTGTGGGCGATGGAATGGAACCTGCACCTCTGCCACATGTGGTGGGGTAAAGTGTGGGTACGCTCACCTTGCTCCAACACGTGTAGATCAGCGTGGAAGAGTAGACCAAATACCCTATTTAGCGGCCTCTAGTGGAGGCCCCTACCGCCAGCAGGCGATTGGCCTCCACAATAAATAATTCCGTGCAGAGATGAAGCAAAGTCTCTTTGACTCATCCCATCAGCCGTACGGCCGTCTGGGAGTGCCTCTCATCAGCAGCAATGGCTCAACTCGAGCGCCACTCTGGGCCGGTTTCCACCTTCAGTGCCTCATCAGCAGCAGCAGCAGAGCCGGGCTCTGCTTGAACCGATGCCGTGAGCTCAGCAGCTGTTTAGAAGCTTACGGCTGTGGGCCGCCTTTGTCTCTCCCCCACCACTGCCGAGGTGTCCAAACCATGCGCGGTTCTCACCTTCAGGCTGAGTCCACCCAGAGGAGGCCCAGGCAGCGAACCGCTTGACAAGTTGGCGCCATTCGCCCCGGCGGAAGCAGAACCGGGGGAGTGGGTGTGGGTGGGGCTAAAGGGGGGGAGGAGTTTAGAGATAGTGACGTCACGTATAGCGTGGCCCCGCCTCCCGCGTGCCTCTGGCAGTTTGGGCGAAAGGAGGTGGTAGAGAGGCGCGGATAGCAGCAGCAGCAGCCTCGAGTGGAGATCAGCTGAGGAGGAGTGGATCCCAGCTTGGGTTAGTGGTGGTGGTGTGTTACTGGTGGTGTGTTACTCGTGATGTGTTAGTGGTGGTGGTGTATTACTGGTGGTGTGTTACTGGTGGTGTGTTACTGGTGGTGTGTTAGTGGTGGTGGTGTGTTACTGGTGGTGGGTTACTGGTGGGGTGTTACTGGTGGTGTGTTACTCGTGGTGTGTTAGTGGTGGTGGTGTGTTACTGGTGGTGGGTTACTGGTGGTGTGTTACTGGTGATGTGTTACTCGTGGTGGTGGGTTACTGGTGGTGTGTTAGTGGTGGTGGTGTGTTACTGGTGGTGGGTTACTGGTGGTGTGTTACTGGTGGTGTGTTACTCGTGGTGTGTTAGTGGTGGTGGTGTGTTACTGGTGGTGGGTTACTGGTGGTGTGTTACTCGTGATGTGTTAGTGGTGGTGGTGTGTTACTGGTGGTGTGTTAGTGGTGGTGGTGTGTTACTGGTGGTGTGTTACTGGTGGTGGGTTACTGGTGGTGTGTTACTCGTGGTGTGTTAGTGGTGGTGATGTGTTACTGGTGGTGGGTTACTGGTGGTGTGTTAGTGGTGGTGGTGTGTTACTGGTGGTGGGTTACTGGTGGTGTGTTACTGGTGATGTGTTAGTGGTGGTGGGTTACTGGTGGTGTGTTACTCGTGGTGTGTTAGTGGTGGTGGTGTGTTACTCGTGGTGTGTTAGTGGTGGTGGTGTGTTACTGGTGGTGTGTTAGTGGTGGTGGTGTGTTACTGGTGGTGGGTTACTGGTGGTGTGTTACTGGTGATGTGTTAGTGGTGGTGATGTGTTACTGGTGGTGTGTTAGTGGTGGTGGTGTGTTACTGGTGGTGGGTTACTGGTGGTGTGTTACTCGTGGTGTGTTAGTGGTGGTGGTGTGTTACTGGTGGTGTGTTAGTGGTGGTGTGTTACTCGTGGTGTGTTAGTGGTTGTGGTGTGTTACTGGTGGTGGGTTACTGGTGGTGTGTTACTCGTGGTGTGTTAGTGGTGGTGGTGTGTTACTGGTGGTGGGTTACTGGTGGTGTGTTACTCGTGGTGTGTTAGTGGTGGTGGTGTGTTATTGGTGGTGTGTTACTGGTGGTGGTGTGTTACTGGTGGTGGGTTACTGGTGGTGTGTTACTCGTGGTGTGTTAGTGGTGGTGGTGTGTTACTGGTGGTGGGTTACTGGTGGTGTGTTACTCGTGGTGTGTTAGTGGTGGTGGTGTGTTACTGGTGGTGGGTTACTGGTGGTGTGTTACTCGTGGTGTGTTAGTGGTGGTGGTGTGTTACTGGTGGTGTGTTACTGGTGGTGGTGTGTTACTGGTGGTGGGTTACTGGTGGTGTGTTACTCGTGATGTGTTAGTGGTGGTGGTGTGTTACTGGTGGTGTGTTACTGGTGGTGGTGTGTTACTGGTGGTGGGTTACTGGTGGTGTGTTACTCGTGATGTGTTAGTGGTGGTATGTTACTGGTGGTGTGTTACTGGTGGTGTGTTACTGGTGGTGTGTTAGTGGTGGTGGTGTGTTACTGGTGGTGGGTTACTGGTGGGGTGTTACTGGTGATGTGTTAGTGGTGGTGATGTGTTACTGGTGGTGTGTTTGTGGTGGTGATGTGTTACTGGTGGTGTGTTAGTGGTGGTGGTGTGTTACTGGTGGTGGGTTACTGGTGGTGTGTTACTCGTGATGTGTTAGTGGTGGTGTGTTACTGGTGGTGGGTTACTGGTGGTGTGTTACTCGTGATGTGTTAGTGGTGGTGGTGTGTTACTGGTGGTGTGTTAGTGGTGGTGGCGTTAGTGGTGGTGTGTTACTGGTGGTGGGGTTGTTAGTGGTGGTGGTGGTGTTAGTGGTGGGGTTGTTGTTAGTGGTGGTAGTGGTGTTAGTGGTGGTGTTTGTCGTGGTCTGTTAAGGCTATACGGGGGATCTTTGTCTTTGGTGGTGTGTAGAGGTGTTAGTGCGGGGAGGGGGCATAGGGGAGGAACCTTCTGAGGGGGAGGGGCTCCGGGCAGTTACGTCCAGAGGGCGTGGTCTCTTGACCCCGCCCCCCACTTGCCTCTGGCAGTTTGGGCGAAAGGCGGCGGTAGAGACGCGCGGAGAGACGACATCGTCCATCAGCTGAAGCCATCGGAGAGAGACTCGACGAGGTGAGGATTATGTGAGGGTGTGAGTCTGTGTCGTTGGTTCATGGTGAAGATGCGAGTCCGTGTTGATGATGTGGGATCATGGTGAAGATGTGAGTCCGTGTTGATGATGTGGGTTCATGGTCAAGATGTGCTTCCGTGTTGATGATGTGGATTCACGGTGAAGAGGTGAGACCGTGTTGATGATGTGGGGTCATGGTGAAGATGTGAGTCCGTGTTGATGATGCGGGCTCATGGTGAAGATGTGAGTCCGTGTTGATGATGTGGATTCATGGTGAAGATGTGAGTCCGTGTTGATGATGTGGATTCATGGTGAAGATGTGACTCCGTGTTGATGATGTGGATTCATGGTGAAGATGTGAGTCCGTGTTGATGATGTGGGGTCATGGTGAAGATGTGAGTCCGTGTTGATGATGTGGGGTCATGGTGAAGATGTGAGTCCGTGTTGATGACGTGGGTTTATGGTGAAGATGTGAGTCCGTGTTGATGATGTGGGTTCATGGTGAAGATGTGAGTCCGTGTTGATGATTTGGATTCGTGGTGAAGATGTGAGTCCGTGTTGATGATGTGGGGTCATGGTGAAGATGTGAGTCCGTGTTGATGATGTGGGTTTATGGTGAAGATGTGAGTCCGTGTTGATGATGTGGGTTCATGGTTAAGATGTGAGTCCGTGTTGATGATGTGGGTTCATGGTGAAGATGTGAGTCCGTGTTGATGATTTGGATTCGTGGTGAAGATGTGAGTCCGTGTTGATGATGTGGGGTCATGGTGAAGATGTGAGTCCGTGTTGATGATGTGGGCTCATGGTGAAGATGTGAGTCCGTGTTGATGATGTGGATTCATGGTGAAGTTGTGAGTCTGTTGATGATGTGGGCTCATGGTCAAGATGTGCTTCCATGTTTATGATGTGGATTCATGGTGAAGATGTGAGTCTGTGTTGATGATGTGGGGTCATGGTGAAGATGTGAGTCCGTGTTGATGATGTGGGTTCATGGTGATGATGTGAGTCCGTGTTGTTTCTGTGGATTCATGGTGAAGATGTGAGTCCGTGTTGATGATGTGGGGTCATGGTGAAGATGTGAGTCCGTGTTGATGATGTGGGGTCATGGTGAAGATGTGAGTCCGTGTTGATGATTTGGATTCGTGGTGAAGATGTGAGTCCGTGTTGATGATGTGGGGTCATGGTGAAGATGTGAGTCCGTGTTGATGATGTGGGCTCATGGTGAAGATGTGTGTCCGTGTTGATGATGTGGGTTCATGGTCAAGATGTGCTTCCGTGTTGATGATGTGGATTCACGGTGAAGAGGTGAGACCGTGTTGATGATGTGGGGTCATGGTGAAGATGTGAGTCCGTGTTGATGATGTGGGCTCATGGTGAAGATGTGAGTCCGTGTTGATGATGTGGATTCATGGTGAAGATGTGAGTCCGTGTTGATGATGTGGATTCATGGTGAAGATGTGACTCCGTGTTGATGATGTGGATTCATGGTGAAGATGTGAGTCCGTGTTGATGATGTGGGTTCATGGTCAAGATGTGCTTCCGTGTTGATGATGTGGATTCACGGTGAAGAGGTGAGACCGTGTTGATGATGTGGGGTCATGGTGAAGATGTGAGTCCGTGTTGATGATGTGGGCTCATGGTGAAGATGTGAGTCCGTGTTGATGATGTGGATTCATGGTGAAGATGTGAGTCCGTGTTGATGATGTGGATTCATGGTGAAGATGTGACTCCGTGTTGATGATGTGGATTCATGGTGAAGATGTGAGTCCGTGTTGATGATGTGGGGTCATGGTGAAGATGTGAGTCCGTGTTGATGATGTGGGGTCATGGTGAAGATGTGAGTCCGTGTTGATGACGTGGGTTTATGGTGAAGATGTGAGTCCGTGTTGATGATGTGGGTTCATGGTGAAGATGTGAGTCCGTGTTGATGATGTGGGGTCATGGTGAAGATGTGAGTCCGTGTTGATGATGTGGGGTCATGGTGAAGATGTGAGTCCGTGTTGATGACGTGGGTTTATGGTGAAGATGTGAGTCCGTGTTGATGATGTGGGTTCATGGTGAAGATGTGAGTCCGTGTTGATGATGTGGGTTCATGGTTAAGATGTGAGTCCGTGTTGATGATGTGGGTTCATGGTGAAGATGTGAGTCCGTGTTGATGATTTGGATTCGTGGTGAAGATGTGAGTCCGTGTTGATGATGTGGGGTCATGGTGAAGATGTGAGTCCGTGTTGATGATGTGGGCTCATGGTGAAGATGTGAGTCCGTGTTGATGATGTGGATTCATGGTGAAGATGTGAGTCTGTTGATGATGTGGGCTCATGGTCAAGATGTGCTTCCATGTTTATGATGTGGATTCATGGTGAAGATGTGAGTCTGTGTTGATGATGTGGGGTCATGGTGAAGATGTGAGTCCGTGTTGATGATGTGGGTTCATGGTGATAATGTGAGTCCGTGTTGTTTCTGTGGATTCATGGTGAAGATGTGAGTCCGTGTTGATGATGTGGGGTCATGGTGAAGATGTGAGTCCGTGTTGATGATGTGGGGTCATGGTGAAGATGTGAGTCCGTGTTGATGATTTGGATTCGTGGTGAAGATGTGAGTCCGTGTTGATGATGTGGGGTCATGGTGAAGATGTGAGTCCATGTTGATGATGTGGGCTCATGGTGAAGATGTGAGTCCGTGTTGATGATGTGGGCTCATGGTGAAGATGTGAGTCCGTGTTGATGATGTGAATTCATGGTGAAGATGTGAGTCCGTGTTGATGATGTGGGTTCATGGTCAAGATGTGCTTCCGTGTTTATGATGTGGATTCATGGTGAAGATGGGAGTCTGTGTTGATGATGTGGGGTCATGGTGAAGATGTGAGTCCGTGTTGATGATGTGGGTTCATGGTGATGATGTGAGTCCGTGTTGTTTCTGTGGATTCATGGTGATGATGTGAGTCTGTGTTGATGATGTGAGTCCGCACTGATAACGTGAGTTCGTGTTGATGTTAGTCCGTATTGATGATGCAAGTCCATGTTAGTCATGTGGGTTTATGGTGATGTATGTATATTGAACTTCTTTCACACAGTACATAGCCAACCGGGCTAATCAGAGTCGGTATTGATGATGTGAGTCCGTACTGTGACCTGATTCGTGTTGTGACATGGGAACCAGTTATGTCACACACCCTCGACTCTGCGTGACCCTCTCATCCCTCCTCCGCTCTCCATGCAGAGACCCGGACGACACGAGGAACGACATGAGCTTTGTACGCAACGCTGCTCTGCAAGTCGCCGCCATGGAGGTACGTGTAGGTCCCTCGACTCGCGCGGTGAAGTATGGGGTTAACGTGTGTTCTCCACTCTCCATCCGTGTGCCTGTCGCCTACCTGTCTACCTGGGTGTGCATCTGCTTGCCTACCCATATGGATGTGGGTGTTTCTATCAGAATGTCTTTCTGAGAACCTGTCTGTGTACCTGCCTGTCTATCTATGTATCAACATTTATACCACTCTTATCTATCCACTGTTGGATGAAGGCCTCCCTCCTCGAGCCACTGGCACCTCTCGCAATCTAGCGATGAAATAATCTGGCCAGCGCATGCTCTGCATTCTATGAGCCTATTTCATAGCTCCATCTCGATGGCGGACGTTTTCTCAGATGCGTACCTGCCACTCCGTTATTGGCTGTCACTTCGTAATTATTTTTGACGATCAACCATCACCATACCTTCTGGCCATGGCGTATCCTGGCCCAGCCACAGCCCCACTCAGTTTTCTTAACATTTTGAATGATCCCATTAACCTGTGTGTCTTTCAATCCACGTGTTCCTCTTTCTGTCTCAATGTAAATCCAGGTGTGGCATCTTGATATAAGACAAACATCCCAATGCTGAGATTGGACATCAGAAACAGAATCTTTATTTAGACTGTAGGAATCCGATGACCTACGAAGCTTGTTTTCACAGATGTCCAGTATGGGATGGTCAGCAAGTTACAACAGCAAATATAAAAAAAAAACTATTGGAGTGAAAAATAGAAAAATGGAAAGCAAGTCAGTAACTTTCAATTTAAAAAAAATAATTATACAATTCTTATTTATCAATATTGTGAAATCATATGATTTGGGTCTTTTGATAAAGTCACGTAGATAGGTTCAAATTAAAAATAAATAAACAAAAAACGACGACGTTTCAATCATAACACAAGCGATCGTCATCAGGAGGAAAACCGAGGTGGAAAGCTGCTCATAGCAGACTGTTTTAAAGGTTTAAAATGCGTGTAACCATGTGCCGTCGACTCTGCGATCTTACATTAACATGCTAATCTCTCACATTAACATAGCCACCTCAGCGTGCTCGCCGTGGAGGCCGCTCTCCGATCTTACATTAACATGCTATTAACATCACTAGCCTCGCCCACTTCGTTTATGACCCTTGGGCTACACCGATTTTTAACTTTTAAAACAGTCTGTTTTTAGCAGCTTTCCCCCTCTGTTTTCTTCCTGATGATGATCGCTTGTGTTGTGATCGAAACGTTATGGTTTATTTTATTTTATTCTTTTAATTTTAACCTATCTACGTGACTTTACCGAAAGACCCAAAGAATATGAATTCCTGCAGTCACGAAAGCTTTAAGTTAAGATTTAATATTGGGAAAGGCAGCAACAACAACAACAAAACAGTCCTCAACCACACCAATATACCACATATGCCCATCAATAAACTTGCACATTAGCTTTGAACTATCAGCAGGAACCTCCTGAATGTGGAGCCCAGATCTCATCGGTGCTTGCTCAGTACTCACCGACTGCACTTAACTCAACACCTTGTTGAATCCTAACTGGGGAACCTTTGTCTTTGTGTAGATGAGCAACGCTAAAGGTGGGAGCAATGGCGGGTCTTGCGACACTGCGGGTACTGCCTCCATCCGGAGAAAATCACCCAAAGGTAATAATAGTCATGTGGGACGTAACAGTGGCCATGTTGCAGGGGTGATGTCACATCAACTATGTTGCATGGGTGATGTCAAGGTGGCCATGTTGCATGGGTGATATCAAGGTGGCCATGTTGCATGAGGAACATCATGGTGGCCATGTTGCATGGGGGGATATGTATTTTTCTGCTGATTAGCAGCTGAATGACTGGTACAGTGAGAGTGATAATGTAGAGCCAGCAGTCACTCTTTTGGAAGCTAGAGTTTTGATTTAACTAGAACTCCCATATTTAATTTGATCTCTCTTTTTCACATGATGGTTACAATAATTGTTCAATCATAGCCTGCCAAACTGATGATTATCTATGCGTTGGCCTCAGTATTGTAACAATAAAAGAAACATCAATAGCCACGTAAGCCAGTATGGCATCACAACTTTATGTGGCAGGGTGGAACCATAATAGCCATACTCGTGTCTCACAGCAGGAAGGTCCTGGGTTTGATTGCTGATTTGAGCACCTTCCTGTTTGCAGTTGAAACATTATTCCCCAGTTCTGAAGAACTTGAGGGAGTGAGAGTGTGTGTGTGGGCATATGGGTATCCCAGTTTAATCCCATCGCTACAAAATAACCACACAATGTATTGGCCAAAACATTCCAATCCTGAAATATTTACCTGACAAATTCCTCAACTTAGGATCACATATCAGCACAAGCACTGCTCCCATTCTGCAAAAGATCTGCAGGAACCTCCTGAGAAGGAGTCTTGAGACTCAGTAAGGCTGTCCTATGTAAAATGCGCTTCGATGATAAAATATCACTTACAGTTATTGTTTTTCTCATGTTCGCAGAAATCCTGGGTCTTATTGGCCCTCAACTAACTCACCGAGAGAAAGCAGAACTTGCCGCCATGAAAGACATCTGGTACTTTACGTTCCACAACGATTCCCGGGGCATCAATAATTATGGCTACGACGACGAAAACCATAATTACATTCTGGTGAGACTTCCCACAAAACACCTGCCTTGGGGTGGTCACATAACCCAGCAGTGGCAGGGTTCGTGGTTTCTTATTACACCTGAAGTAGCAACCAGGCTGGCTGCCCTGATTGCTACTTCAGGCCTCATTATCATCTTCATCATGCACAGTATCATCACGTGCAGTATTCTCACACACTGTGTAATAACTCACCGCGAGATGACGTGCAGTGTCCTTGCACACAGCATCATCAGCCACAGTGTATGGTCTGCCAACCAGCCAAGCATGAAAACTCGCAGCATGATAGAGCTCTCTCTCCTTCCAACAAACACACACAAAGAAAATGTATCGTGCTTCAGTTAATAACAACTGTGCATCAGGTTATTAAATTGTACCTGCGACATTCCTGTCAAACCGAGCACTGAATTAACAGGGGGGGGGGGGTGAATGAGTGTTGATGATGGAGTTGGTGCCCTCACCCCTGACCTCTGTTTGATTGTCGCTCAGGACCCACATGTGCAGCTCAACTACCGTTATGAGGTGCTCAAGACAATTGTGGTGGGAGGTCAAGGCCAGGTCATCGAGTGTCGTGACCACAAGACAAATAACATCGTGATCGTGAAGATGTTGGTCACACCCTTAAGGTAAGACTCCACAGAGGCACCGTAATGAGGCCATGTGGTAGTGAAACTCGTGCCTCACAGCGAGAAGTGGGCCTGGGTTCGACTCCTGAATTGGGCGCCCTCCCGTGTAGAGTTAGTATGTTCTCCATCTCTTCTGCATTGGTTCCCTCTGCGTTCTCCAGTTTCTCGTGGTGAGATTTTAACTCCCTCGCCTAGTATGTAGGAGGTCGTGGGTTCAATGGCACCTATATATTTGGAGTGATCTCCCCGTGGCAACATGGATTTTTTCCGGGTCCTCCAGTTTTTAACTCCACATTTAGAAACATGCGTTTAAAGTATTTGGCTGCTATAACGTAATAAGCCACTTGGTGGACCTATCATCTGTGGCCAGGTCGCTTCTGAAAAAGAGCTACAATATATAGGTCAGTGGGCCTTACCTGGTAAAATAAAAAAATGTTTTTTTTCAATAGTTTTAGTTTCTTCCTCAAGGTTAAAAAACACGTACAGTGTAACTGGTATTGGACCAAACATCCCAATACTGAAATATCACCTCTACATTATTCAACTACTGTGATTATAAATAACATTGGCGCCAACTGTGCAACTACTGCAGACTCTGTCAGTGAAACATAGCGCCTCGCCTTGCACTATGAGACCCACATTCAGAGCCATGGCTCAGCTCTAGCTCAGCCTCGAACTCTCAGTCTTAGGCTCTGGCTTGAGTCATTTGGTTGCTGTTAAATATGCTTGAGCAGCTCAGTCATAGCTCGGCACAGGCTCAACTCCTACAAAATCCTGAGCATTCCTTGCACCACGCTCGGAGCCGGCTCAAGTTAATCACAGTCACACATCAGGGAATTACTCTATTCAGGCAGCACCCCAAACTCCCTTCTCTCCCTAGCTAATTTTATCCTCTTCCCCAACCTTTCTGGAACTTTCCATGGTTCTCCACCACCAATCCTTAATTTCTTCAGTCTCTCCCAACTTGACCCCCTTGTTTGCATTAAGTTTCCTCTGATGACCAATCTTCACAGCGGCTTTGGCTAGCCTTTGAACAAAGAGGGTCACTGCACCTCATGATTTCAGATGCACTTCTGTGGCCATCTGGAACGGTCTTCCTTCCGATATTAGAAAGCCACTGAAACTATGTGCTTATAAATGTAAATTGAAAACAAATTTCTTTAGAACTGCTTTTCGTGTTAAGTTTGTTATCCTTCCCACGCATCTCCGATTAGCATGATTGGCTATATACAGTGCAAAAGAAGTTCAGCATACATATGTACACTCCTATTTGAATGGCTCTCTACCTTCAAATCCGATTGTGTGCCATTTGTCGGCCACTTTCCCTGTGATAGCTCCTCGGTAATGAAAGTTGAGCACTTCAAACTCACAAAGCCATTAGGCTCAGTGAATGTATATGTATTTTTATCCGAATAGGCTTTACTTCTCGTCATTGTTGTATATAAGCCTTTTTCCATTTTTTTTTTATTAAGAATGAGTTGCCAATTTTTCTCGTGGTGTCGCTTGGAGGCCAGAGGGGGTGAAGTGAACAACCCCCTCCCCTCACAGCAGCCGCCATTCTCACACACAACAGGCTGCCGGAGATAAGCAATCAAAAGTAATAAACCCAAACCAAAGAGAAGGGGATGGGGGGGGGAATTCCTAATGAGACTCGAGGGGAACTCGACAGGACTTCAAAGACCCCCTCTTTGAGCTCACAGACAACCAGGCGCCACTCACAGGCGAATTCTTAAATCATTTTCCCTTTCGTTGCTATTAATACTAGGGTTAAAGTTCAGAACTTAGCAACAAATGAGTCGACATCATAGACTGTCCACACACTGACTAAGATAAAAAAAACAGACTACAATCTAAATAGCGGGTTATTACTTCTCAAACATAATATTAATACTAACGTTATTCACCTTAAATTATATTACATCTTTCCGTTTATGTGACCTTACAAAAACCAAGGAATATGAATTCCAACAGTCAAGAAACTCACCTCTGAAACTCAGGACGTAAAAAAATCATAACTCAAGCATAACAGCACCGATCCCCAGATACAGAAAGGGGGACGGAATTAATAAACCCTAAAAACATACTTGGTGATGACAATGTTAAATCACAAATCTTAGGAAACATATGCCAAATAATATTTGTGCCGTATTCAATCGAGGGTTGTCCAGAAGAGATGAGGCGAAAGAGGTCAAACTTACACAACCAAGATGAACTGTGTTCCATAGGGAAGGAGCCTCCCAACCGTCTTTGTCTTTCCACAGCACGGAATAGCAAGGAATGTAACACCCAGAGTGAGGGAAATGACTCGTTTTTTGCAGGGGGGGCATCTGTGTCCACGGATGAAAATATGGCTTAATAAATGACACACACAACAACAACAACCGCCATTCACCACTAAGTTGCGGTGACATCACCACGACGCTTGTGCCAGGCCATGTGCCACCTTGAGGCCACGTGAAGTGTCGAACGCCCGCAGGCAGGAGGTCACGGGGCAGACCCAACTGCCACCGGTCGACTGACTAAGATGACTGAGATGACTGGCTGATGCACCACCTGTGCCCCTTACTGTGCCAACCTGCTGTGCTTTAGCCACCTGGCGCTCCTTTTGTTGTTGTGAGTGTCGCTCCTCCGCCCTCCGTTGTTGTTGGAGGGCGACTACCTCCAACTGCCCAGTAGCGTCCTTCACGAGCCTCCTCCACAGAGGCCGATCTTGACACTTCTGGTACCAGTCATCAGCAAGTCCACTCAGCTCCACGTCCTCCTGTACCACATCACTCCATTTCTTCTCTAGCCCATGCCGCGCCCGTTTAGCCCCCTCGATCCAGCCGAACAAAAACTGTTTTGGCATGCGGTGGCTGGGCATGCGGGCTACATGACCCAGCCAACGCAGCCTTGCCTGCCGGAGGAGCTCACCGATGGGACCTTGCCCAGATCTTTCAAAGATTTGTGAGCTCCTCACACAATCCAGCCTGCTTAAACCCAGGATGGATCGTAGGCAGGCTAGCCTAAATGTTTCTAACCAGCAAAGATGTTCCATTAGGGGGATCCACGTTTTGCAAGTGTAGAGAAGGGAGGGAATGACCGTGGCCGAGAAGACCTGAAGCTTAGTGCGGAGCGACAGACCAGGTAGCTTCCACACAGCGTTACGCAACTGATGAAAAGATATTGCCACTCGACTGATTCGGAGAGAGACCTCTGCTGTTAAACTGGAGCCGGTCATAAGCACACTGCCCAGGTATGGGAAACTCTCCACTCTCTCCACAACTGCCCCATCACCGATTGGGAGTTGTGGGGGTGGAGTGTCCGATGGTAAAAAATACCCAGGCAGGTGCTTAGTTTTGGTGGGGCTGATGGTAAGGCCCCATCTCTTAGTGACATGCTCCAGTCTCAGCAGCAGCGTCTACAACTCCTCCTCTGAATGAGCAGCTATTACCAAATCATCGGCATACATAACGTGGTTGAGCAATAGGAAGCCATCCCTTGACCGCACCCGGGCATCAATCAGCCTCCCATTATATCTGTACCATATGGGGATTCTCCCGGTACAGCTATTGAAGGCTTCATGAACTACCTGGTCAAAATAGATGTTAAATAATGTGGGAGCCAAAGGACATCCCTGTCGCACCCCAAGTTGTACAGGGAATGGCTCTGACTCCCGGCCACGTAGTTTTACCTGGCCCGCTCACCATCATGAAGGTCCTTAATGATCGTGAGCAGAGGGTCAGGTACTCCAAAAGCACGAAGAACAACCCAGAGGCCAGGCCTACTGATGGTATCATAGGCCTTGACTAGGTCAATAAAGCAGAGATGTAGGTCTTGCTGGAATTCCCTACACCTCTGCTGTAGCAGACAGACAGAAAATATGGCATCTGTGCAGGACCGTCCTTTCCTGAAACCGCATTGGGGCTCCGCAAGCCTCTCCTCAGCATGCCTGGCAAGGCGATGTTGAATAATCCTTGCCAGGACCTTTCCCGGCACACTGAGGAGTGAGATGCCCCTGTAGTTTTTACAGTCTGTGCGGTCCCCCTTCTTAAAGAGGGGGACCACCAGGGCATCCTTCCAATTCTGCGGAACCCGTCTAGTGGTCCAGACTGTTGTTATGATGTCACATAGGGCAGTCTGTGCACAAACGCCACCCTCCCTAAGCATTTCGCTTGGGAGATCATCTCTGCCCGCTGCCTTTCCTGGTCTCAGACTCCGGATCGCCTTCAGTACTTCCTCAACAGATGGCACTTCAGCCAGCCACTCACAGGGGGTGACTTATTCCAATATTTGAGGCACCGCAGACTTAGCAGAGTCATCCCGACTTTGTGCCACGATGTTTTTCTGGCTGAGGGATTTTCCCTCCCCCAGGACCTCACAGAAATGCTCAGCAAATCTGCAAACCTGTTCTTGAGGGTCGGAGATTGGATCACCGTTTTTTCCCCTAATGATGGTAATAGGTGTGACGCTGCAGGTTACTTTTTTGATGGAGTTAAATAGAGATTTGTGATCACGGGCCACTGAGGCAGACTCCATCTCCTCAGCGACTTGCGACCACCACCCATCCTTGCAGCGCCTCACGGCTCTCCGAACCTCCGAGCGAAGGCTGCGGTAAGCCTCCTCGTTCTCTGACGTGGGATTCTGTAGCTGATGACAGTGGGCCTGTTGCTTTTTCTCAACCATCCTGAACACCTCCTCTGTCAGCCAGGGTCTCTGGGGAGGTCTGGGCCGCGTACCCAAAGCAGCCATTGCAGCTGCATGAGTCAGAGTTCTAAACCTCGCCCATTTACCCTCGACATCAGGAGGAGTGGGGGACGATGCAACCCCAGCCGCAAGTGATTATGAAATTCTCGCTTGCAACTTTCATCAGATAACTGAGACCAGGCCACTTTAGGTTGGAATGGGGTCCTGGGTGTACACCCACCACCGGAGTGGAAGAATGGCAGGCACATCTTACAGATGACTAGTCGATGGTCAGAGGGCAGATCAGCTCCACGGTAGGTCCTGGTGTCAAGGACATGGGCTCGCATCCGCTGGTCCGTCACTATGTAGTCCAGCAGATGTTCTTGCTTGGACCTGGCATGCATCCATGATGTTGTGTGGGTGCGCCGATGCTGGTAATTACAAGCCCATGGGCTGCACAAAAATCTAGCAGCCTCCTACCGTTGTTATTGAGCTGATCTGGCCCATGCCCTCCAATCACTCCAGACCAGGTGCCAGCATCATGACCAACTCGGGCATCGAAGTCACCCAACAAGATAACTCTATCCCGAGGGGCCACTTTAGCCAGCACCTGTGACAGGAGGTCATAGAAGGCATCTGACTCATGGGCTTTGCCTGCATCCCTCCACGGATGTTCGTCTTCGGTGGGGGCATAAGTAACCACGACCGCCACTCCTCGCCTCCGAGGAGTGTCCACAACAGAGTTGCCCGTCCGGCACCGCGAGTAGGTAGTGGGTTGTTTTGCCGGACACACACACACATGGACACACGTACAGCCCCACAACACACAGCCAGAGGAAGAAATTTGGCATAAAAAGAGAGACACGGGCCATGATTTGAACAGCAGCTACCAGCGGCAGAAGACGGCGACCATCAGCTACCGAAGATGACCAGCTAGCCACTGACGCAGAAGAAGACTCCTCAACTCATCCAGGATGGCGAGGCTCGCTGAGTAGCGACATGCTACGCCGTGCGAATTCAGCGCCATCAGAAGTATCGCTCGAAAATCATTCCGCTCTGGGCATCGACTCACAAGAGCCACTGCAGTTCGAGCTAAGCTGACGAGAATTCCAGCATCACCCGTCGGAGAGGGTGGAAAGCGCCAAACGTCGACCAAGCCTGCCATCAACAAACGAAAGCATCGTTCATCGCGAGAGAGCCGGAGCAGGAGAGAGCACGCCGCAGGGCCACCAGCATCACCAAGCAAGGGTGTCAGCTGCCAGCGGACGAGCTGTGGGTGCTACCTAACAACGGAATCATCGCGCACCGACGGCGAGCGTCGTGCCAACTCTTCCCACCAGCTGTGGACCGAACTCCGGCCACCCTTGTGAAAGAAGGAGAACCCAGCTATCCATATGATATGCACACTGCCACACATTACAACGCACCACCTAGCGTCTGCTTGACTCAAATAATTGATCAAGAACACATCCCCACTCAACACATACATTCATAAGAAGCCTAATCATAAGTGCATGAACGATCAGCTGGCCGTGAAGGCATCGCGGCTCATCGAGTGATAAGAATATGTCGTTTATAAGTACATTAATATTTTTTCTTCTTATTTTGTTTTATGTGATTTTACTTCCAATCGCATACAGTGAGGAAAAAAAATATTTTATCCCCTGCAGATTTTGTCCGTTTGCCCACTGACAAAGAAATGATCAGTCTATAATTTTAATGGTAGGTTTATTTGAACAGTGAGAGACAGGATAACAACAAGAAAATCCAGAAAAACGCATGTCAAAAATGTTATAAATTGATTTGCATTTTAATGAGGGAAATAAGTATTTGACCCCTCTGCAAAACATGACTTAGTACTTGGTGGCAAAACCCTTGTTGGCAATCACAGAGGTCAGACGTTTCTTGTAGTTGGCCACCAGGTTTGCACACATCTCAGGAGGGATTTTGTCCCACTCCTCTTTGCAGATCTCCAAGTCATTAAGGTCTCGAGGCTGACGTTTGGCAACTCGAACCTTCAGCCCCCTCCACAGATTTTCTATGGGATTAAGGTCTGGAGACTGGCTAGGCCACTCCAGGACCTTAATGTGCTTCTTCTTGAGCCACTCCTTTGTTGCCTTTGGGTCATTGTCATGCTGGAATACCCATCCACGACCCGTTTTCAATGCCCTGGCTGAGGGAAGGAGGTTCTCACCCAAGATTTGACGGTACATGGCCCCGTCCATCGTCCCTTTGATGCGGTGAAGTTGTCCTGTCCTCTTAGCAGAAAAACACCCCCCAAAGCATAATGTTTCCACCTCCATGTTTGACGATGGGGATGGTGTTCTTGGGGTCATAGGCAGCATTCCTCCTCCAAACATGGCGAGTTGAGTTGATGCCAAAGAGCTCCATTTTGGTCTCATCTGACCACAACACTTTCACCCAGTTGTCCTCTCAATCATTCAGATGTTCATTAGCAAACATCAGACGGGCATGTATATGTGCTTTCTTGAGCAGGGGGACCTTGCGGGCACTGCAGGATTTCAGTCCTTCACGGCGTAGTGTGTTACCAATTGTTTTCTTGGTGACTATGGTCCCAGCTGCCTTGAGATCATTGACAAGATCCTCCCGTGAAGTTCTGGGCTGATTCCTCACCGTTCTCATGATCATTGCAACTCCGCGAGTTGAGATCTTGCATGGAGCCCCAGGCCGAGGGAGATTGACAGTTCTTTTGTGTTACTTCCATTTGCAAATAATCGCACCAACTGTTGTCACCTTCTCACCAAGCTGCTTGGCAATGGTCTTGTAGCCCATTCCAGCCTTGTGTAGGTCTACAATCTTTCCCTGACATCCTTGGAGAGCTCTTTGGTCTTGGCCATGGTGGAGAGTTTGGAATCTGATTGATTGATTGCTCCTGTGGACAGGTATCTTTATACAGGTAACAAGCTGAGATTAGGAGCACTCCCTTTAAGAGTGTGCTCCTAATCTCAGCTCGTTACCTGTATAAAAGACACCTGGGAGCCAGAAATCTTTCTGATTGAGAGGGGGTCAAATACTTATTTCCCTCATTAAAATGCAAATCAATTTATAACATTTTTGACATGCATTTTTCTGGATTTTTTTGTTGTTATTCTGTCTCTCACTGTTCAAATAAACCTACCATTAAAATTATAGACTGATCATTTCTTTGTCAGTGGGCAAACGTAAAAAATCAGCAGGGGATCAAATACTTTTTTCCTTTATTGTAAATTACCAATATATTCATCGACATAAACTAAACATTTGAAACCTTCGTCACAAATCTACACGCTCACAGAGATAATATCGTGCTAAACCTGTTTCTTTATCATATAATCTTTTCCACGAATTACTTAAAACTTAACCAAAGACAAGAATCTCCCATAGGAGGGCACGCACCCCGTCGCACACCCTTCTTCCAAGACATTTAGTTAATTATATAATCTTGCCGATGAATCTATTGACGTATACTTTTGCCTTTGGGGTATAATAATTTGCTTTATTGCCTTTCGTATGAAAATCGTTGCATTAATTTTTAAGGACTTTTCCTCTTGCCGATATGCTCGTGTTACTCTGATGAAGTAATCGTTTGTTCTGTTACCCAATTAACAAACGTGATCATTGAGGGTTAAATGTATGAATCCATGAAGCCTTAACCAATTGATGAGTATTTGCTGAAGCAGGCATACTGCCACACACCCTTGTTCCAAGACATTTCGCAATTACGTAATCTTGCTCATGAATTAATTACCGTATGCTTTGCCTTCAAGGACATGTTTCTTTATTGCCTCTGTATGAATGTCGTTGCATGAATTTTTAAGGACTTTTGGTTCCTATCCCCGTGTATGCTCACGTACTCTGAGGAAGTAATCAATTGTTCTGTTACCCAGTTAGAAAACGTGATAATTGAGGGTTAAATGAATGGATCAATGAGGGGAACATCTCCTGGAGTACTGTGTTGACAATTTCAAGCATAAGAATTCGCATATTAGTGTGTGTTCAAATTGCTTAACACAGAAGTGTTTGAGTGTTTCTTTTCTAAGGTCATGCGTAATAATCTTAATTATAAGAATTGTATCCTGCGGTGAGATTTGAATTTGGAGACCTGACATAGCACACTAATACATAATCAATAAATGTTAAAGCGAGAACAATTGTATTATCCCGATCGATAATACGAACCTAGACAACGAAGCCGAGCTTAATCTAGCATACTTACATCACACCTGCATAACTTCATACGATTAATTGTCTTATCCCGATTGATGATACGACCCTCGTCAGCGAGGCAGGGCCTAATTATCATAACGGCTCACATTAGCATAATCGCATACATTCGCATAAATTCATACGATTACGCATTTTTCCAAATTTCATTTCATTTTTATTATTTTCATCAAATTTTCAATACCCGGCATATACAACATCATCCTTTACACAAGTCTAAGTGATTAACTTGTGGACTTCCTCTGTGCAGCTCCACGGATAAAATATTGGAGATGGGGCTCAAGAGGGCTATGAAACGTCAGCGCAAAGACTATAACCAGGACTCCAACGTCGTCAATGTCCTGGATGATTTCACTTTCAGAGGGCACTACTGCATCGTGCTGGAGTTGTTGAAGTATGTACTGCATGTTCCCCCATAGCGTGGTTACTTTTGACACTTGTGCCATCCACACATTGTAATAGCATGGCACTGTCATGTGTCTGGGAGGCTCAACCAGGACACACGCGTGGTTGCACTGGAGGCCCCTCCTCTTTTCTCTATCAACCCTTCCCCTGTTCACCAAGCCACACCCCATTCCATCAGCAGGGTGGTGACAGCGCAGTGGTGATGCTCATGCATTTCGGCGAGAAGGGCCTTGGTTCGATTCTCAACTCGGGTGCTTTTCTGTGTTTAGTTTGTGTCTCCCCCCCTGTTCTGCAGAATATGAGTAAGGGAGTGGTAGTGTAACAATTAGCACGCTGCACTACAAACCTAGTGGCCCAGGTTCAATTCCCACTTATGGCCAACACCAGTGACGATTATCTGAACCGGTCCTGGGCCTCCCCTAGGTCTCAGCCTCAAATAAGTAGGGATGTGCGAGATGCACACACCCTGCTCCCATCCCCCAGCTAAGATCAGGTCTACCCCAATAAATATCATTATCCCTATCACTACCCTTTCTGCTAGGACCAGGCTGTCCTCAACTCCTATCAATATCATTATCCCTATCACTACCCCTACTGCTACAACCAGGCGTACCACAACCCCTCCTTAACCTGTCGCATGTTGTCCTGTCACCATAACCACACCACTTTTAACAACCCCACTCTTTATCAAACCACAATCATGGCATGTACAATTTTTTACAAATTCTGGCATGTGCCTTGGAATAAGGTGCAAAAAAATCTATATCATATACAAAATATAAATGGGCAGATGTGCCATCTGATTAGGTTTATCAACAAATGGACCTAAACCCAAACGGGATTAATTATGAATAATAATATTGGTCGTAAACGTGCATGGATAATAGTATTATTGTCCTTATCAGAATCAGCATAGCATTGCAGGATGGTACTGACGCTGCATCATCGTTGTTGTTGCTGCTGCCACTGCCTCTCTCACAGGGAGAGTCTCCAGCAAGTGATTGAAGCAGCAGGGCTCCGGGGCTTGGACATGGCGTTGATTAAAGCATACACCAGGGAAATCCTCACATTCCTGAAGCATATGGAGTTGAAGCAGTTCGTCCACGCAGCCATCAGGCCAGTAAGTGAACATGGTGTTCAGCGCGTCTTTGGCGGAGAGTTGTGTTGTACCTGAGAGAAAAACGGCCATCACAAGGTTAATGTGTTATGCCTGTCTGTATATCTGGAAGGAGGCAGGGTCACAGTAATACTGGTGAAGATGATCCGGTATAAATTAGACTTTGGTGAAGAGGCATGTCTCTATTGGGGACTCACCACAGAGAAAACTGGCCACATTGATCACGGCGTTGGCCAAAACTTGGGAGACATGAACCGGAGCTAAAACGACAATTTGCAAAATATACCAAATACGCCTTTTGACCTGTTGGTTGCCCGTCAGCTTCAATGCGGCGAATGGAAAACTATGAAAGGCAAATGCATGGTGGAAAGTGTCACAGAATCCATGCGCGTTGTCGGTGATTTTTCGGGACTCATAAACAGGCACTCGTACAGCTGTGAACTTCGTTCAGCTCTACTGTTGGAACAACGGTGATCAGTTGTCGATAGCGCCATCCCCTTTTACTTCGACAATGTCTCAGAGCTATTAACACGCGATAAGCCACTCGCATCTCTCATCTTAACGGACTTGAAAGGGGCACCCCCAGTGATAGTTGTCAGAAAACAGCAATTGTCACTGAGACTGATGCTTGGCAAGAGCGCGCCACCTCTTTTGATTCCCTGTTTAATATGTATTGTGGTACATGATCGATCCACTGCTAGCTGAATTCTATCAACATAACCTCTGAGTGTGAATCCCATCTGCCTCTCTTCTAGAACAACATCATGGTCAAAGACTCCGTGGCTGGCACCATTAGGGTCATGGATTTTAAGACCAGCTTTATTGTGGGAAGTCAACGTGAGTGACCTCATCTGCGTGTGTGAGTGTCTGTGTGTGAGTAGCGAAAATGCCCAGCCACCGCATCCCCAAGCAGCTTTTGATCAGCCAGATAAATAGGGCTAAACGGGCGTGGCACGGGCTAGAGAACAGATTGGCTGATGTGGTACAGAAGGATGTGGAGCTGATTGAACTTGCAATGACTGCTACCAGCAGTGCCAAGATCAGCCTCTATGGAGGAAGATTGTGAGGGACCCTGCTGGGTAGTTGGAGGCAGTTGCCCTCACAACATTGAGCGGAGCGCCGGGCGGCTAAAATGTAATGAGGTGGCACAATGGAGAGCAGTTGGTGCATCTGCCAGTTATCTCAGTCAGTCAACCCATAGCACCTGGGTCTGTTCCGTGACCACCTACCAGTGGGCCTTCGACACTTCACGTCTTCAAAGTACACCTAGCATAGCACAAGTACCATGTTGACGTCACCACCACTTAGTGGTGAATGGCGGTTATTGTGAATGTGTTTACCTATGTCTGTCTGTGTATGTGTCTGTGTTTGAGTGTCTGCGTGTCTGTTGTGTATGGGGGTCTATGTCTGTCTTTGTGTGAGTGTCTGTGTGTCTGTGTGTGGGTATCTGTGTGTGAGCATCTGTGTGTGAGTGTCTGTGTGTGAGTATCTATGTGACTGCATGTGTGATGACGATGCTGTTAAAGGCTAAGAGAGCACAGTACATGTATTTTTGTTTTTGTCATTGTGCAGCCAGACACGGTGATGCCCTGCCATACATAGCTCCGGAGATGTTGCTGGGCTATGATTTAACCTGCACTGCCGACATTTGGTCACTGGGCTGCATTGTAGCAGAGATGGCCACTGGAAAGAAATTATTCCAGCCCAACAACGAAGACGATTTTCTTCTGGCCTGCATGGAGGTATTTCGCACATAATGTCCACTCGTGGGTTAGGGGGGGGGCATATGGTGATTTGGCGAATGATAGCTGTTGTGTGCTGTGTGCGTGTTTAGACGTGTGTGTGTGTGTGTACATGTGTGTACACGGTAGTGTAGCGGTTAATAGTGCATTGTGTACAGCTTGTTGAGATGAGTCAATTGCCGCATCGCCGACCATCACCAGACCATAGTACCCTGGGATACTATGGTACCCCGGGGTACTGCCATGAGGTTCAATCATCTGAACTGGTCCCTAGGCCTCTCCTAGATCAACTCAGCTTCAAATAAGTACCTAGTTTGGTGTATGAAGTACCTGGGGCAATGTGATCAACCATGCCCTCGTGTGCCACAGTTCCGGCCTCAATACATGCTGCTACTTGCTTACAGCACTTGCCCCAACAGTCTACTGAGGCTTTATGATTGACCTCTGTCTTTGTCTGAACCGTGTGCAGAGGCTGGGTTTGCCACCTAGAAGCTTCATACATGCCGCTCCTTACGGATTGATATACTTTGGTAAGTTAAAAGGGGTGGCTTTGGGCTGTTATTGCGTAATTCCAACGGAGTGATTTGCAGTGATTTTTTTCTGAGTAGGAGGGTTGGTAGGTAGATGGGTAGGTGGATGGGTAGGCGGATGGGTAGGCGTGTGCGTGGGTGGGGGGCGAGGGGGTGGCGGGGATAAGTGGGTGGGTAGGTGGGTGAGTAGGTGAATGAGTCCAACAAACAAGACCACACCTCAAAGGTGGTACCGGTCGGTAACGCTGTGGTAAGCAATGCCAACGGAGGGAAGGTCAATTTCAATACGCTATTCCCATCATGGGGCTCATAGCCACCACTGAGGCCAATGGGTGCGAGGGGCTGGTAACCCCTCCACCTTAAATTGAATTACCACGGCCAGTCATCGCATTCAGGCTGTCCCATGACCTCCTGCCAGCGGGCTTTTGACACTTCAGGTGGCCTTAAAGTGCACATAGCCTGGTACAAGCGCCATGGTGATGTCACTGCCACTTAGTGGCGAATGGAGGTTGTTGTTTTTGAGTAGGCCGTGGAGGGGATGGGTAGGTGGGTGAGTGGGTGGGTAGGTGGGTGAGTGGGTGGGTAGGTGGGTGAGTGGGTGGGTAGGTGGGTGATGTGGTTTGTAACTATGTATATCTCTCTCTTCCGCTGTGCATGGCTCCTGCAGGTGGTTGGAAGAGACCATACAGCCTGCCGGGGAGCTTCCCACTACGCTCTGTGCTCAAGAGCCAGGACACGGAGTTTGTGGACTTTATCAGCCTCTGCCTCCAGTAAGAACTACCCCCTCTCCCTCTTCCATATTCCCCCTGCTGCACCCCACGAGGATTCCCCATCACTCAATCTCCTCCAAATGATTGGTGTTCACTCTCCATCAATCACCAGCTCCACCCTCTCATTCTTACTCATCACCTCCTGGGCCCAGAGTTGGTGGACTGTGTCCATTGTTGCCTACAGTAGATACAGTAAGACAACCTCCCGCCTGCCCATCCCCCTCTCCCACGCCTCCCCACAAGGATTATCATATCAGTCACTCTCCTTCAAGTGATCATTACAGAGACACCCATAGACCCCCATTTTCTTCTTCCTCTTCGTCGGATCCAAAAGTCCAAAATTTGAATCACAAAACTCTAGAACATGTGGAGAATGTGGTACGTCTGGGCCACGTCGTCACCGTGTCACAGAAGAGGTGGAGCTGATGTGGTACAGGAGGATGTGAAGCTCAGTGAACCTGCCGATGACCTGTACCAGCAGTGTTAAGATCGGTGTCTGTGGTGGAGGCCCATGAAAGATGCTACTGGCAGTGGCAGGCTAGGTGTATTTTTAGGCTACTGGGCAGTGGAGTACTCCCCGCTGCTGGTGAGAATTCCTGGGCCTCGTGGAAGAAGGGAAGGAATGTAAATCCTTGAAACGTGCCTCTCACCACGTGTGCCCCGCGTGTCTCTCAACAGATGGGATCCAAATCTTCGGATGACTCCCACTCAGGCGCTCGCACACAGCTGGCTTCAGAACATGGCTGAGGTCTATGATCAAGAGGCAGCCACGGTCACCACCAGCACGAACATTACCACCGCTACCACCACCGCTGCTAGCAGTGTGCAGGGCCTGATCATGCTGAGATCCAGAGAAGAGGGCTCCGGAGAATACGATGCAAAGTCTGGAGCCGCTGAGCCACGGTAAGCAACTCTGCATGTGTCCTGTGTAAGTGTTTATTATTTTGTATCATTATTACTACGTTTGTTCACCCAGGATGAACATCATTGAGTCTCAAGATAAAATATTCAAGAGGGCCCTGCCAAGTTTTGTTCGCAGTAGGGAACAAAGTTGCTGTGTGTGATCCCAATTGAGTGCTTTAGAGGTCGATTTTGATCCAATACCAGTTGTATTGTATTTGTGGGTTCAGTTTTCGGGGAAGAAGCTGCTGAACCCAGAGGAAACCCATGCAGAACGGGGGGAGAACACAAGTGTATTCCAGCCTACCCCACGTGTACATTCAGCTGTAGACCGATTTCTTTTCCATAATTGGTTTCTGGGTGAGCCCACATAACCATGCGGGCATATCTTCACCATCTAACCCTTCATTCACCATAAAATGCGTTGAGGTGCAAGATGTGATATGTAAGTGCCTCATTGCGTTGTAAAGCACTCTGAGATGTCATCGAAGTCAAGATGGGCAGCTTTATCTAACACGAATCACCATCAGATATTTTTACAACAATCGTGCGTGGGTGATGCGGCCCAGCGGCAGCACTCTTGAGGTCCCGCCATGGTTATTACTGCCATGGTGGGACGTCAAGACATGATGCACCCTGTCCTTTGCAGTGGATGTTGAAGATCTCCCCTAATGTCGTTCAAAACGAGTAGGCCATTGTGTGCCAGGGGTCATATTTGCCCCAATTAGAATATATCATGAAAACAAAAAGAAATCATGACAAATTACTTAGTTGGAATTACAAAGCAAAGCTGCCTGCTACTGTGACACTACAGCAGACTGGATGAGACACAGTGGCACATTCCTTCATGATAATCTTGTCCCATCAGAATGACAGCTCTGACATCAAACGTACTAAAAAAAATTCATTGTGATTAAGCTCGGTTTAATCTGCCACAACAACGGGAGATGGGGAGGTGACTGCAATCTCTGCCATAGCAAAAAGGTGTCATGTCGTGCGTGTGTCTTCCCAGAGTGAAACCGGTGCAGCCCACCTCCTCACTTGCCCAGGCCTCTGAAGAGGAAACAGAAGTTGTGGTGGAAAATGAGGGAGAGCAAAAGACGGAGGTGGAGGAGGAAGAGAATACAGAGGAGGAGGATGAGGAGACAGATGAAGAGACAGATGAGGAGACAGATGAAGAGACAGATGAGGAGACGGAGGATACAGAGGAGGAGACGGAGGAGGAGACAGAGGAGGAGACGGACGAGGAGACGGACGACGAGATGGACAAGGGGGGAAATATGATGGAGATGGTGATGGAGGAGATGATGGTGCAGAAGGTTGAGAAGTTAGAAGAGAATGAGGTGAAGGTGAAGATGGACGAGGAAAAGATGAAGGTGGAGGAGGAAGAGAATACGGAGGAGCAGGATGAGGAGACAGATGAAGAGATGGAGGATACGGAGGAGGAGACAGAGGAAGAGACGGAAGAGGAGACGGAGGAGACGGAGGAGGAGACGGAGGAGGAGACAGAGGAGGAGACGGACGAGGAGATGGACGAGGAGATGGATAAGGGGGGAAATATGGTGGTGGAGGAGATGATGGTGCAGGTGTTTGAGAAGTTGGAGGAGGAAAAGGACATGAAGGAAATTAATAAGAAGCGAGGGTGCATGGCTCGTGTGGGCAGAGCAATACGCTCACTCCTGCACCGCGTGCTACTGTGCGGTGGCCGGTCCACCCCACAGTAGGGATGGTAGTGGTCGTGCATCGGTGTAAACCACGACTGCTATCACCACACCACCCACCCTCCCCCCGTGATACACATTTTTAGTCTATTGGTGTACATATTTCCTTGGATACAATGCATTTAATAAACCGCCCTAATTTATTCATATTTTTGTTCAGAGTTACATTATTGTTTTACTTGTGGTGTGGTCAGTGGATATTGTTCGGTGAATCCAACCGAGACAAGGATTTATTGGAAAATCTGTGGCTGCTGATTCTCTGCTGGCTGGAGACTGCAAACTCACCCAGAAGCCAGGCCACAAGGACTTGGGCTCAGTGTTAGCGGCAGTAACAACCGACTTGCTTTAAATATTGCTCCAGAAGAGCACCATCCTACTTTGGCTCTTCGGATGGTGCAGGTTTTAAAAAGACAACTGAATGTGTGCTGTCTTGTGTGAAGTATGGCAACAGTTTCCGACAATGCCTGTGCATACAGAGAACGTCATGACACATCCAGATTGGGTTCCTTTGAGCTTGGTGCAACCGTTTACAGTTATTGACGATTGAGAAATGCAACATTTGTCATCATCGCGTACGGTGATTAAGTATAATATGCTGGCAAATCTCTCCTTAATGTCGTACATGTTTTTCCGAACTGTGAAAAATGTATGATTGAATGTTGCCTTCATGTGCAGATGGCAATATTTGTTTCTGGTTCTGGTCCAACAGTGACCGCTATTGGATGCTGTGTGCAAAAAAACGTGTTATGGGAGCCAATAGTGGTTTGGATAACAAACATTGCATCGTTTAAATCCAGGAAATCACTGTGTGGATTTCTCAGTGTTCATAATGGTTTCAAATGAACCACACATTGCAACAGCGCATTCCAAATGGTGTCGAATGCACCGCCTGTAATCTGGTTGGTAAGAAACACGTTTGGTTTTAAATGGACAGAACTCGACCTTCTGCATTATTCTTCATTATGGACCCCGATTTGTAAGCATTAATCACGCAAACCTTGCACCTGATTTATTTGAGTCGCTGTGCTCACGAGCAACAGGGCTTTTGTGGCGAGGTTTGAATGTACCCCCGGTTAGCACGGTTGGCTATGTACGCTGCAAAATAAGTTTAACAAACATAAGTTGTAGAAAACGTGTGACTGCACGCACTGGACCGCATGATGGTGTTAAGCGAGCCGACCCGATGAAACAAATAATTTCAGGGAATCAAATAGCAAGTGTGCAATCTCCCTTCTGGTGGGCATCAAGGATGAGCCATACCCTGGCTTGCCAGAAGAAGGCAGTACAACAAAACTGTGGAATATACCTGTTCCATTTGCGTCGGACAGAATGTTGCCCCCTGCTCACATACGCGGGACATTTGCAGCAACTCATTAAGTGGCTGCAAATATATAAGTATACAAATATATAAACACATACAGTAAAATCTTGGATTGTAAACATAATTCGTTCCGGAAACGTGTTTGTAATCCAAAGCACTCGTATATCAGTTGTGATCACGTGACGCTCGCCAGACAAAGCATATACGTACACCACTCGTATTGCAAATTTGTAAGTAAATGTAACTGCAGAGAGGGGTGAGCATCGGCTAATCAGAGGAGGGGGAGGGGGGAGCTGTCGCAACTGGCGGGAGGGTGGGGTGAGTGGTTGAGTGAGTGGTTGAGAGAGAGGTTGAGTGAGTGAGTGGATGAGTGTGTGAGTGAGTGGATAAGTGCGTGGCTGAGTGTGTGAGTGGTTGAGTGAGTGGCTGAGTGAGTGGCTCAACTGCCTCTCCCCTCTCATCCCACTGTACTCCCCTCCACACACACTCACCTGTCTCTCCCCTCTCATCACACTCAAGGCAACACTTACCTACCTCTCCCCTCTCTTCCCACTCTACTCCCCTCGACAAACACATTTGTCTTTCCCCTAACTCTAAAACCCTCCACACACTATCCTGCTTCTCTCTCGTCTCTTCGAACACTACTCCCCTCCACAAACTCAGTTGTCTCTCCCTTCTCATCTCACTCTCGGCCACATGTACCTGTCTCTTCCCTCATCTCACTGTACTCCCCTCCACACAATCAACTGCCTCTCCTCTCTTACATGACTGACATCACAGACTGGAGACAACTACGTCAGCAGCCACGGCCTGACCTGAATGAAATGCAACTCCTATTATTTAGGGCACAATTGTCCCAGAAATAGGAAAACGATGATGGTGAACGTTTTATTCATATACTAGATTACATAAACAAGCTAGATTTGAAGCTTTCGTGACTGCAGGAATCCATACTCTTTGGTTCTTTTGGTAAAGTCACGTAGGTATAAAATAAAATAAATCACGAAGTTTCGGGCGCAACACAAGTGTCCATCATCAGGTGGGAAAGCATGGTCTGCTGCTGAGGCAGACAGTCTGCAGACCTGATGATGGACGCTTGTGTTGCGCCCGAAACGTCGTGATTTATTTTATACCTACGTGACTTTACTGAAAGAACCAAAGAGTATATAAACAGGCAGGTTAGCAAAAGTTTAAATGGATACACGCTTGCGCTCTCAACAATATTAGAAACAGCAAAATATCAGGGAATATGCCAAGCAACGAATCTAAATGTCGCAATTTGGTGGCAGAAAATAAAATTATCACAATATCATAACCATTGGAGCCTAGTTTTTGGTGAAAATCTAACATGATCTTTTTTTAACTTCATTTTATTTTCATAGCACTCCTGTAAAATGTACAATAATATAGAAATAAAAGTGAGATCCTCAAAAATTGAGTCAAGCAGACAATCATATACTATAACACATAAATCAACAGTTGCGAATTGTTTCATAATTAACTTTAACCTTCTTTGCATGCCGTTTAAATTTGAACCTATTTTTTTCATCAATAATCAGTGGCATAAAACGAGAATATAAGAAATATCCGCAATAATATTAATTATACAGTCAAGAATCCAAACATCACAATATCCACGACATTGGAATTTGATGTATTAAAATAAAACATGCCAAAAAATTACCCGTACACATGACCCAAGCCGAAACCTACAACCCCTCACTCTTCTGTACTGAGAGAGGCCCCCACTTCTTTGAAACCCTCAGCAACAGACCTCATAAACATCCATAAAATCTTGAACCTACCCCTTTCACGCTCACCTTTCCGAGTTGATGATGAGCAGACTCACAATTGCCGAGATTAATTTAAATTTAATCAACAATTGTGCAGGTACTCTTTGGTTCTATTGGGTAAAGTCACGTAGGTGAAAATAAAATAACAAAAAATCACGACGTTTCGGCCACAACACAAGCGGCCTTCATCAGGTGAAGGGACGAGACTGTCTGGAGGACAGCGCTGGAGTGGAAGAAGCCACGCTCACAAAATCAGTGTTCACTTGCAAACCTTTTTGCATTATGGTGCAGTTAAAATATAGTATTCAGCTCATTAAATTAACCTTTTAACATTCATTTGAAATCATTTTTTAAATATAATAATTGCATTAATTAATAATTTTAATGTATAGTTCCCATAATATGAATATCCCTGATTTATAGTATTCTGCTGGTGCAGGAATGTGTTAGAGACTACTGTATATTCTGGTGAATCCAGTCCATGAACTTGGCGACTGTGCTCTAGACACCTGGCTTGTAAGCCCGTGCACAGCCAACGCTCCAGCTGGTGATTCCAGAAAGGAACCAGTGGCAGTTTGAGTCCTGGCAAACCAACGGCCCCCCAGAGTCTCCCTGCAACAGACACACACGACACCAATGTTAGAAGTTGACTGAAGACAAGGAGGCCTGATAGAGCGATAGGAAATGGCATGTCATGATACGAAAGACGGGAAATCAGAAGGCCCAATAAGTAGGTTTAAATGGTCAGTGCACAGAGCAGTACAATTGAGAGGCAGGCTTGAAATGTTCCGTGGGATGGGATCCTGAATGAGGACTTTGTTGTGGAAGGCCCATTCAAACTCGGCTCCTCTTGCTTAAAAACAAACACCTACAAAATTACCCGAAGATAAATTGGAAATATATTTTAATTACATGCTGTGTGTAAAATTTCACAGAGGGGGATTAATGCACTCAGCAGTGACTTATCTGCGTGCTCCAGTTCCTTCCACATATATACACACTCACCCATTGTCTGGGAACATCTTAACATATAGAGAAATGCGAAGCAATTGTTGGCGCAGGCTTACGGCCCTTGCAATATTCCAGCTTGGTCTTTGGCTCCTCAGCAATTCTGAGATGCAATTATAATGAAGGACGCTATATAAAATGAATCGCTGGATTTTTAAAAAAAATAGTTTAGCAAATGTGCTCAACTGTCAGTGACAATTTGCTTGATTCGGAAAAGCCGCATACTTCAGCAGGCTGGGAATGTGTTCACGTCGTGCTGAACAGGGAGTTGTGTGAGTGACTCGAAGCGTGGCTGCCCCTGTGGCGCACAGCTGATGCCCGCATCGCTCGTGCCAGTCTCCTCGACCAACGAGTAGTGGAACTACCCGCCGGACCCTGAGTCGATGCGACTCGTGTCATTGACAACCTGTACTGACCAGTTTGGAGAAGTATCGTTGAAAAGCATCGAACGGTAGCTTGAGAAGGTACAGTACAGACCGTCAGAGGTACTAGTGAAGCGTTTATTTGAACAACACTGCTTACGAGTGTGCTGCGACTACTCCCCTATTTGTCACTGACAACTGGAGTTTTGTGGTGAGCGAGTTCATACGGAATGAGGCGTGTGGAGTCTCTGAGTGTGGTGTCTCTGGGTGTGGTGTCTCTGCGTGTGATGTATCTGTGTGTGGTGTCTCTGTGTTTGGTGGCTCTGTGTGTGTGGTGTCTCTGCGTGTGGCGTCTCTGCCTGCGGTGTCTCTGCGTGTGGTGTCTCTGCCTGTGGTGTCTCTGCGTGTGGCGTCTCTTGAGTGATGCGTCTCTGCATGATGCGTCTCTGCGTGTGGTGTCTCTGAGTCATGCGTCTCTCTGCACCAACATTTGTGCGCCAAGTGGAATAACGACCGTTCTGCTCGCCAGTGCCTGAACCGTGGTGTATGCCACGCACAATCGGGTGGGGGAAGATAAAAATGCCATACGACGGACAGTGCGATATCAATACAATCCTGGTCTACGAGGATTTTTAGGGGCATCTTAGCCACAAAATCCGTACCTAGTAGACAGGTTACGGCCAGGGATTCCGAAACGAGAATTAGTCCTGTCAACTGGATGTCACCAATGCCCACCGTCACCGAAATTTGACACACAATTCCCAATGAGCTGCTATTCGCCGCTAAACATGGAATCTTAACGGGAGACAGGGCGCGAGATTTTAGGGGCAAAATATAAAAAATCGTAGCAGAAATGATGGTAGGTGTCAATAAGCACCCGTGCCTCTACCCCCTGTATTGTCCCAATTACGGCCGACGATCCCGCCGCCGTGGCAACGACATGATGGGCCAATTCCGACCACTGAACAGGTCGTAGAAGCCATCCATCACCCGGTAACACCCGACTCTCCCGCTGCGCGACCCAAGTAGAGCGAATGCCGGATGAACACGAACCGACGCCTGAGCCCAATGAGTGAAGTGATTGCAAGGACCGAGTGTGTGGTGTGCCGCGACTTGCCTGGAGACCTTGCGGACATGAGGGCTTCTGAGGAGAAGACGACGGCGATGGCGGCCGGGAGTGTCGTCCCCGTGCGGCGCGGCATCCAAGAGAAATGTGTCCCGCCAGCCCGCAATGGTAGCAGATGACCTGACCGCTCTCCGGGCGAGGGAATGTCCTTCCTGGGTCGTGCCTCCCTCGTCGCTCCGTGTCGCCTGCCCACCAGCTCCTGTCGTCCACCGAAACGCAGGCCTGCGTGGACTCGTCGTCCTCGAGCGCATCCAGCATCCCTGTAAGAGTGGCACACGCCAGCATCGTTTCTGGTGGAGGTGCGCCTGGATGCACTGCGCGATCTGCAGGGACGACAGATCATCCTCCTCTGTCAACAGCAAGACGACGTCAAGCTCCTGCGCCAGTGCAAGCAGCCGTTCAAGCACCAAAGAATCGACACCTGCTGGGTCCATCTTGGGGTACGCCTCCTGCGCCAATGACAATAGGGCACTTCAGAAGGCGAGGGGCGTCTCAGCCTCCCCCTGCTTACGTGCGGCGAACTTGTGGCGGACGGTGGACAGCAGATCGTAAATAGTCCCCATTTCAGTGAAGGCTCGCGGCAGTGTGTCCCTTGCAGCCGGTGAGGTGGCGTAGAATGACACCAAATAATCGTCGTCAAGAACCGTGGGAAGCACTCGTAGTGCCTCCACCTCTGTCCAGCCTGCCAGAGCGCAGTTGGCCATGAAGCACCGCAGAAAAGCGCACCCAGTCACCACCGGCGGCCATAAATTCCCGGACAAATGGCAGCCATTACTTGCATGATGGAAGTTCCAGCGGTGGCGTTGGCGGTTTTTCAAGTGTGGCGGGCTCTCTGTCCCGCCTGAACCGTAAAATGGCGGACGCGCGCGTGGACTGCGCGCTCGCAGTTCCCCCCGCGGGCGTTAAAATGGCGGCCGCGCTCTCGGACCACATGGCCGGAGTTTCCCGCGTGCGGGAAACAGCGACGATGGAGTTGTCGCCCCGCGGCTCCGATGTTCTGACCTCCCCCGCCGGATCTTCGAGATCTAACTCCGCGACCAGCGCTGCTGTGGCTTGTAAAAGCTCTGCGAGGCACGTGTGGCATATCCGACGCTCTCCCTGGCGGTGGCAAAGATGCGGTGCCGTGCTTTTCTTGCTGCTCTGCCGTCGTCTCGTTAGCCTTGTCTGGAGTAACCATCATCGGGGCAGTCTGGGGTATGATCCCCTCGTCATCCTCGTCATCCGAAGAAGGCTTGGTAAGTTGCCATCTTCTTGTAAACATAACACCTACCCTAGGCTTATCACTGAGTAAAATGTTACCACTTCTGAGGCCAGTTGTAGTGTGTTTACTTCGGCGCATACTGAACTTGGAGGCAACACTTTTTTTTAACACAACGGGTAACTCTGACAGGATAATAGCATGGGGTAGTAATTGCCATGGCTAACTTAACTAACACTCGGAGAGATTATTATATAGTCGGACCAGGGTAGCCAACTGGCTGCCTGGTCCACGCATGAAGACCAGAGACCGACGACCGGGGATTGAGGATG